TTTTTTTTTTTTTTAAGATGCTATTTTTAAGTAATCTCTATATCCAGTGCAGGGCTCGAACCCACAACCCGGAGATCAAGAGTTGTATGCTCCATTGACTGAGCCAGCCAGGCGCCCCATGCGTGATGCTTTTCTGTCGGGAGACCCAGATTATCCAGGCGTCACGTTAGGGGAGTCAGCCCCACTCTTCCTTTTTTTACTTTCAGCACAATTTTTTTTTAATTAATTGCAAAGAAGAAACTATGTGAGGGAGACCAAGGCTAAGAAAAGCTAACGTGTCAATCGTGAATAGATGGTAGGCTACTTTTTAGTCACCCTCAACTGGTTTTAAGTTTGGTCTCACCTTTTTTTTTTTTTTTTTCATTTTGGTTTTTTTGGTCTCAGTTTTATGTACCTTGCATAATAAGTTCTATGACTTGGATGCCCTTTGAGCCCCCAAGAGTGGCCACTGTCTGCTCTCACACGTGTCCTCTTACACAGTGCTAGCTAACGGGACACTCAGCTGAGGTGCCTGGGAATGACCAGCTGGGTCATTTGGAACCTCATGCCCAGCAATTGTCTGCTTGGAAATCCTGCTCACTCCTCTGGAATGAGGTCATCGGCTTCGCTCTGTGTCAGAATGCTGGTCAGGGAGCAGGTTAACACATTTCTGTGACTCAGCAGAGCGCTGGAGGAAGTATGAAACCACGCGTTTCCTTGGCGTGAAGTGCATAGTTATTAGAAGGTACCATTAACCCATCTTCTTTATTTCTTCTGTTGTGTTTAGATGGATCCCGAATACCGTGTGAGAAAATTCTTGGCCCTCTTAAGAGAAGAAGGAGCGTAAGTACATGCAACACTTAAGACCGTCAGCCAGACTTACCACTCTGTTAAATTCCACTGCCTATTCTAAGACTTGCTCTACAGTGCGTATAAATTTGAATTCTCAACCTTTCTTGGACAACTTTGTTTCCATTTATTAGAGTTCTTCACTGTGTTGTAGGCCTGAGAGACCAAGCAAGGAAATTGGTTGTTCTGTTGGTTTGTTCTCCTTGTCCTGCTTCGCAAAACTTCCTTGTCACAATGCAGGAAAAAACTCAATGGTACATATTTATTGGAGCCTGCTTTTAAATGCATGGGGCTATGACCGTTTTCTTTTGTGAAATGCTTATCTAATAGCAAATGCATAGTGAAAAACGTAGAAAAACCATTAAGAAGCTTTTAGTGATTTTGTGACGCATGGTTTTTTTGTAGACCCTCATCTGGTTTTTTGTTTGTTTGTTTTGGGTATTTCTTTTTCAGTAGCCCCCTTGACTTTGAAAACGGACTCTTTGCACACACACAGTGACCAAGGGAAGTGACCAAGGTGAAGATGGCCTGGGATCTTCACTCAACTCAAGATCCTGGACAAAGTGAAACAGTCCCTACCTTCAACACGTGCTCACTCTGCATGATTAGTGCAATAAAACTCCCTCCCTTGTGCTTACTCAGATATTCTGCTGTTTTGTGGAAGGTACAAATTCGCTTTAGAATGCTGTGCTTACCTTTCTGTGCAAGCTAAGATGATTTCTTCTTCCTCGGTCTTTAAGTGCGGGTGATGTACTACACTTGTGAACACTACACGTTTTAAGCTCCCCACCGCCATCGCCACCCAACCCCCTCAGTAAACGTAACAATGTTCCAAGACAACACTTGGCTTCTTAGAAGGAAGACTTTCTAGATGTAAACCAGGAAGAGTGACTGGAAGTGTGGGTTCAAAGGGATTATCTTACAACTCCCCTGTGCTAACACTAAAGGTACTTGGGTATTTGGTTTAGGTTCTCCCAGAAAACTGGTGGTTATCTTTGCCTGAAGGAACAGGGCTTTGAATTTCGAAATGCTGTTCTCAATCATTTTCAGAGATGTTTCCAAGTTGCAGTCAAAAGGTCTTTCTTAATAGGAAGTCTGATTATTACTGTGTTGGCCGTGGCATATCCTCAATGTTACTGACTTGCTCTGTGGTAAGAGATCTGCTAACCGTTACCGCTTGGTAGCTTGTTGTTCAAGACTTATTAAAGACCCATGTGGAAAAAGCGTACACCCCTAAATAGAAAGGAGTCGTTACAATAAAATCATTTATAAATTTTCAGCACGTTACTAGTGTCCAATTCTAAATGGGACAATTCTTTGTAATATTAAAGGCTTATTAGTATCCTTAGCTCAACAACTTAGAATTTATCCTCCCTTTATTTTAAACCATCTGTACTATCTAGCATCTGTTAAATAAAACACTTTTCTCCAGAAGACACTGTTTTCTAGCCCTTGCCCTCTGAGTCTTTTAACATCCATTCCAGTACATTTAACACATTTCCTTTACCCTCTACACTCTTCTTCCAAAGGGAAGGAGAGCCCGTGGTTTGTCTTATAATGGAGTCAAAAGGAGTTAATTAGGTCATCATATTTGTGATGAGACTTACAGAGCAGGCCACTCTCTCCCCACTGCTGCTTAAAACGCAGGGACAGGCAATCAGAAGCCATCTGAAGGGGCTTTACGCCGCCCAGGGACTTGTTGCCACAGTGGCACTTAGGTGTAGCTCTGTCATTTGTCCCCGTGGTAGAAGGCAAATTGTCTCCAGATCTTGCCATCTATGTATTTTTGGTTGACTTCAGTGTCATATCTATCTTGTTTTGGGTTTTCATCCCTAGCTTATTTTGTGGCTTTTTAAAAAGTGGATTGTATTGTGAAATTCTGTGATTCCCGGTGGCCAGTATCTTGGATTCCCTTATCTGTTTTACAGCTTGCCTCTTTTCTCTTCCTGTGAAAGCAGCACACATTGTATTAACTTATGTCTCTTGTTAAATGAGGTTGATTTCTTGGTGTTTTGTCCAAAACTATATTGAAAAATATAAATATATTGTTTAATGCAAATGAAGGAATGCAATAAAGAATATCTATACTTGAAAACATTCTGTAGACCAGTATTTTGTATGAAACAGTGTGTATGACTGATAGGAATGTGTGAAGAAGAGGGGGCTCAGAAGAGCCCCTCCTTGCTTTGTTACAACTAGTCTAAGGAGATGGATTGTTTTTATTTAAACATCTCTGGTTTGGGGCACCTGGGTGGGCTCAGTTGGTTAAGCGTCCAACTTCAGCTCAGGTCATGATCTCACGGTTTGTGAGTTCGAGCCCTGCCTTGGGCTCTGTGCTGACAGCTCAGAGCCTGGAGCTGCTTCCGATTCTGTGTCTCCCTCTCTCTCCGCCCTTCCCCTGCTTGCTCTCTCTCTCTCTCTCTCTCTTAAAAATAAACATTAAGGGGCGCCTGGGTGGTGCAGTCAGTTAAGCGTCCGACTTCAGCCAAGGCACGATCTCGCAGTCCGTGAGTTCGAGCCCCGCATCGGGCTCTGGGCTGATGGCTCGGAGCCTGGAGCCTGTTTCCGATTCTGTGTCTCCCTCTCTCTCTGCCCCTCCCCCGTTCATGCTCTGTCTCTCTCTGTCCCAAAAATAAAAATAAACGTTGAAAAAAAAAATTTAAAAAAAAAAATAAAATAAAATAAACATTAAAAAAAAAACTGATTTTCACTATTTAGGGAAGTATAGTCATTTAAAAAGAAAAATAGATCACTAGTATATTTTCAGATGTTAATGCGCAACAAGAATCTCCATACTTATTTTACTTATTTGCACCTTATTAAAAAACAAGTTATACCAAAGCTATAAATGGGTTAGGAACACTCCAGAAAAGAAAATTGTTTCGCAGAATTACTCCTTCCTGTGAAATGCACAAACCAAGGGATTCAGACACTCTCAGTGGGATTTCTTCACCTGTTTCATTTTGGAATCCTGCATCCTTTTTCATTTTTCTGAGCTATAGGATCTCTTAGTCTAAAAGCCCAATCTTCAGAGGTGGACCAGGCTGGGATGAAAGGCAGCTCAGAGAATCAGCAAGGCTCAGTGGGAAGAGGTCAGTTTCAGAGCCTCTCTGACAGCAGGATCAGCTCGCCAGGAGTTGTCTATACCTCCTAGGAGGACCCTAGGCCACCCTGGTCCCTGTGTAGCCTCGAGAAGGTGGGGTCTTGAAGTTATCCCAGAACTGTGATGGGCAGAGCAAGAGAGGGTCTGAGGTCACAGGCTTAGTGACAAAGCAAAGGAGACTGCAGCCAGCTGCTGCCTTGGGTTTCTTCACATACGGATCCACTGTGAACAGGCTAGTTTTTGTCAGAAAATGTAATTAAAACTTCAAAAAAAGGCTATCTCCTCCTTTCTGTTATTTGTACATCTTCACTCAAATACCTTTAAAAAGATATAACAGAAAAACCATAATGGTGGCTAAAATCTGAAACATGGTTTGCCTTAAGGCTGTCTTTTCATGTCCCAAAACCTGCAGTGAACAGCCTCCGCTTTAAGTTTCCACAGCAAGTCATGGAGTAGATTCGAGTGTGTAAATCATGAAGTCCTGGTTAACAGACTTGTTGAAGCACCGAGTCAGCGATCAACAACCAGCCCAGCCCAAGCACAAAAGGTGAAAGCAAGATTTCATGCTCCTCGCCTGGCCGCTTGATTCATAAGCCTCGTCAAAGACGACACTGGGGAAGGTGTGGATGAAAGTTCAAAAACGCATGTAAATTTCAGAAGTTGCTGCAAAATGATCTAAGTTTCTCCTCCACTGGCAAGCGGTGCTGAGACTGGGCCCTGGAGCTGCGCCCACAGAGGCCGTGTGCTGTGCGGACAATGTGGCCTTACAATGCAGCACAGAGCACCTTTGAGGGGCAAGAATCCCGAGCCGTGAAGACAGAATTTGCAAGGAGGACTCATGTTTGAAATTTTCCCAGCATACGGTCTCTCCACACAACTGACTTTGCCCCACTATTTGAGGAGTTTAAGATTAATGGTAAGGTAACTCTTTGCCTCCTAGAAAGTTCTCTGTTAAGAGAAATGATGACAGCGGAGTAACCATAAATTTTGCTGCATTAACTTCACCTGTGTGTATGTAGATCACCTGCAGCTTACGTGTCCGTCCACATACCCAGGGTGGCCTGGATCTACCACTGGACCATTGGATACCGTCACTGGATGCACCTAGAATAGCCTCACCACCATCTCTCCCCTGCTTCTCTGCCTTTCCTTTGCCTTTATTTGTTCTTCTTCCCCTCAGCCTTGAATGCACACATTTTCTTCCCTTTTTTCATAAAATACTGCTTTGAAAGGAATCTCATTATATTGTCTCTTTCAGATCTTTTTTTTTTAAAGGTTAAAATTTTTTTTAATATTTATTTTTGAGAGAGAGAGAGAGAAAGAGAGAGAGCGCAAGCAGGGGAGGTGCAGAGAGAGAGAGAGAAATGGAGACACAAAATCTAAAGCAGGCTCCAGGCTCTGAGCTGTCAGCACAG